CATGAGAGGCATTTCAACCATCAGTGGAATCACATGAGAGGCATTTCAACCATCAGTGGAATCACATGAGAGGCATTTCAACCATCAGTGGAATCACATGAGAGGCATTTCAACCATCAGTGGAATCCCATGAGAGGCATTTCAACCATCAGTGGAATCACATGAGAGGCATTTCAACCATCAGTGGAATCCCATGAGAGGCATTTCAACCATCAGTGGAATCCCATGAGAGGCATTTCAACCATCAGTGGGATCCCATGAGAGCCATTTCAACGTATATATTCATTGAACTTTCCCAACGGCGAGGAAGGGAAACGATGTTAGGAAAAGGGGGGCCAGTAGGGTAGTTGACCCCAGGCGGCACTTTTTTGACTGAAGGGCAGCATTTTCGGGCAACTCAAAACGGCAGAGTTTTCGTCATGGACGTGGTCCACTTAAGTGAGGTGGTAAAAATATTGGTTTATCCCCGACGACACTAAACCTAGGCAACGCCGTACAATATTGGTTTATCCCCGACGACACTAAACCTAGCCAACACCGTACAATATTGGTTTACCCCAGACGACACTAAACCTAGTCAACCCCGCCTACCTCCGAGGCTGCAGAAGGCCTCAGAAGGGTTCAAAAATCGGGATATTTTGTAAAAAAAACAATTGAACATGCAATTTTTAAAAAAAACAAGTAGCAGAGTGTCTCCAAAAGTCACGTGAAGGCTCTAACCCAGGTGTCTCAAACTTGCAGCCCGCGGGCTATTTGCGGCCCACGGGCCATTTCCGGCCCGCAAGACGATATCTTGCGGCCCGCTACATGACAGCAAAGTTTAGTGTTAATGCGGCCCGCGCGTTTCCCCATCATCATATCTATAATGTGACCCCCCCCCCCCCCCCACAGATACAGTCGAATCTCACCGACTAATTCTAATTCTGATTTTTATTATGTTAGTATATATTTGTATGTTGATTATAATGGTAAGAACCGTTCTAAAATCGGACTAAAAAAAAATTTATAGAATTTTATGAGACAAACATAGCAAGAGTGCTGTTTTGAGAAAAGTTTTTTTTTTAAAAAATCAGGTAGTTGGTATTGCTCAACCATAATTGTGTAAATCGTAGCAATCCGACACAGTATCAAATAGTCCTTATTAAAATTCCCGCGAGTGTTTACGGGTGAGGGGAATTCCGAGCCTGTCAGCTTGGTCAACTTCAAAGTAGGGTTAATCAAAATATCTTTTCTACCGTAAAAAAAAAAAAAAAAGAAAATCAAAATTAATTCTCCCTAGAATAGCTTCTTCCTCCGCATCAATAATTCATAAGTCATGGCCTGCTCCTGGCCACTGTTTGTACACGTTTTAGCATTTAAAGCCTTCGTGGATAAGAATGGGGTGGGGGGGTGGTTGTTCCTGTACGAAGTGATCCCAAACGGCTTATGGACTTGGCTTTTCTTGTTGACATTACTCAGGAGCTGGATGTACTCAACAAGAAGTTACAAGACCAGGGATGGGGGGGGGGGAGCTTGCCAGCGTTGCCTATGACAATGTCAAGGCATTCTGCACAAAACGTGTCTTATGGTTCTCAGAGAAACCCCTGAC